GCACTTTGGGGAGAAGCTGCACTTACAGCTAATCATATTCTAAATAGAATACCCCACAAGGGGTACGACAATACGCCGTATGAGATGTGGAAAGGATACTCCCCGAGTCTGAAATACTTCAGAGTGTGGGGGTGCCTAGCGAAAGTGGGGCTACCCTCATTCAAAAGACCCAGTGTTGGGTCTAAGACTGTAGATGCAGTCTTTGTTGGGTATGCAGAGAATAGTGCAGCCTATCGGTTCATGCAGTTAGAAAACCGGGCTATATGTGAAGCCAGGGAAGCTGAGTTCTTTGAAACTATCTTTCCTTTAAAGACCCCTAATGTGAATGAATCACTTTCGCTTCCTTACTCACAAGTGGAGAGTGAGCCTGAACAACTCAGGAGGAGCAAAAGACAACAAACCGAAACAACGTTTGGGTCGGATTTTATAACGTACATAACTGAGCTGAAAGACGTAAATGAACTTTCTGAACAGTTCGTGTGTCAGCTGGTTCTAGAAGAAGAACCAAAGACCTACGACGTGGCCATGCGCTCAGTTGATGCGGTATTCTGGAAAGAAGCCGTTCAAAGTGAACTAGACTCAATAAAGTCTAACCACACTTGGGAAATAGTAGAACTTCCCAAAGGAGCTAAGCCGATTGGATGCAAGTGGATCTTTAAAAGGAAACTAAGACCCGATGGGTCAATAGAAAGGTTTAAGGCGAGACTAGTAGCCAAGGGCTACAGACAGAAGTTTGGGGAAGACTACTTCTGTACCTACTCACCTGTGACAAAAATAGCAACAATAAGAGTGCTATTTGCGCTAGCCGCAGCACACAAGTGGACAGTCCATCAAATGGATGTCAAAACAGCCTTCCTAAATGGAGACCTAGAAGAAGAAATCTACATGGACCAACCTCCTGGGTGTGTAGAACCAGGACAAGAAAGAAAGGTCTGTAGATTAGTGAAATCCCTCTACGGATTAAAACAAGCTCCAAAACAGTGGTATGAAAAATTTCACACCACACTACTGGATCTGGGTTACGTGGTAAACAGATCAGATGCTTGTCTATACTCAAAAGAAGTTGAGTCTAGCGTGGTACTCATCTGCATCTATGTAGATGACATGCTAATCTTCAGCCCCAATGTCGAAGCAATAGAGAAGACCAAGAGGTCACTTTCTGAAAAATTTGACATGAAAGACTTGGGGAAGGCTGATGTAATACTTGGAGTAAAAGTCATACAAAGTGAAAATAACTACAAGCTATCACAAAGTCACTATACAGAAAAACTGTTAAAGAAATTTGACAGTTATGAAGTGAACCCGGCTCCAACGCCGTATGACTCCAGTGTCAAACTACAAAAACACACTGGAGCAGGAGTGGCACAAGAAAATTATACGAAATTAATAGGAAGTCTGATGTTCTTAATGAACTATACCAGACCCGACATCGCTCTTGCAGTCAATAGACTCAGTCGGTACACTCACAATCCAAGTGAGGTTCACTCGCATGCCCTGAAACGAGTACTGCGCTATTTTGAGTGGGGCCTGCAGTACAGTGGGTTTCCGAATGTCCTGGAGGGATATTGTGATGCAAACTGGGTCAATGATAGTGATGATGTAAGCTCCACCAGTGGGTATGTGTTTACCATGGGAGGAGCTGCTGTGTCGTGGAGATCCACGAAGCAATCATGTATAGCCAGGTCAACAATGGAAGCTGAGTTCATAGCCCTTGACCTGGCTGGGCAAGAGGCTGAATGGCTGAGAAACCTACTGGCAGACGTGCCATTGTGGGGGAATTCTACTCCATTAGTATCTGTTCATTGTGACTCACAAACTGCCATATGTGTAGCGAAAAACAGTTCCTACAATGGAAAGAGAAGACACATAAGGGTCAGACACGAGTCTGTAAGACAGTTAATTGTGAATGGAGTACTCACACTAGAGTATGTGAAGTCCGAGAGGAATATTGCAGATCCCCTAACAAAAGGACTAAACCGAAAAGCTATCCTTGACACGTCAAGGGAAATGGGCTTAAAATAAGAGATAAGGAATTCAAGGTGGACACCACTGTAGTGGTCAAACGAAGCCATGAAAAGACTTATGTACCTACATGGAGGACATCCTGAAGTGTTGATGTGTGAACCAGAGTTCAAAACTACCCACTTCTCAAAGAGTTCAAGACTTGGTTCACTCTTGGGAAGTAAGTTACTCAGGTCACTACGTGTCAGTTCAAGTTTACACACTGATATTAAGTTCAGCCTTCGGGATTGTACTGAAACATCCTTTTTCCACACCTCTTGAATGTGTGGGGGATTGTTGGAGAATACATTCAAGGATGTTGGAGTTTTGGAGTTTTTGCCTTGCTACTTGTCCCACATTGGTTTCTTAGGGACTACTTTCCCATCATTTAAATGCCACTCCTTTTGGAGTCTTTGAAATCTTTTCAAGGGAGGGAAAGGAGAAGTCCCCGCGCGCGCCGCCGCCGCCGCCCGCCCGCCTCGGCCGCGTGTCGCGGTGTGGTCGAAGTTTTACGCGGCAGTTATATTTTGTCCTACTTTTTCGCTACTCCACAGAATTATTCTTAGTCTACGCACTAATAATAAAGTCAGAGAGATTTGTGCACGTTAGTGGGCGATTACGAACGCGATTAGCGTTCCTCTCTTTGCGTTTTTCCGTCTATTTTTTCGGTTGATTGTGGCTGATACTGGGAAGTCAGGTATTCTCACTACTATAAATACCTGTCTTCCCAGACCTCTCGAATTACACTGGAAAAATAAGCTTAAACGCTCAGTTGCTACGTATCTCTAAAGTGCAAAGAATACGTGAGCTCTTCTGTGTTAGCCAGTCGAAAGCGTCCGGAAAAAGACCGCACAGTCTCCGGCATTAAGCTTTTAAGGCAGTGTCCTGTACACGTCACAGAATATTCCTATAATTCTATACAGCCTATAAAAAACGTAGTATCCACACATCTCTACGACATTTTTCTAAATATCCAACATATGTAAAGCCCTTATTACCACTTTCTAGTCTACATTGCATCTTGTGATGCTACTTCACTTGGAAAGTTCATATTCTGTTTTTCTAATCCAAACCAGCTTCCATTTTATAAGATAGATATGTATCAAATACAATTATATATAATATATTTAAGTGTATCGGGTACTATTGATATCATTAATTTAATAGTATCTAGTGTGTATATATGTGTGTGTTTTTATTAAACAAATTTTTTAAATAAATTGAAAAATAATTGGTCAACTGACTCGAATTTCTCACAATTTAATTTGATTTATTTATAAGAGAGGGACGAATGAAGAAATACTATACTATATTTTTATCTTAAAATTAGATGTATATATTGACAAATAGGGTAAATAACCCATCAAGATTGACAAAAGTATAAACTTGATTAGATGACAAGTTAAACTATACAAGAGTTAATTTAGTTATGATGACTTATCCAATCCCAACGTAGTCTTAGTATGTGTCTGGTTCGGTTAACGAGGCTTAACTGAAGTTATTTTTAATTTAATTTTTCATAATATATTAAGTTTAGAATTAGTATACAAAATTTATATATTTAGAAACTACACTCAAAGTACTATTAAACACAAAAAAATTAAATTTAAAAATAAGTAAAAAATACTAAAGAAAATAAACAAAGACGAAAGAGTTAGTTTGACCAATGAATAGTAAGTAGGACATGTAAAATGGGACAGAAAAGTAATGTAATATCGCAAAGTAGTTTAATTTGGGTAGCTCAACTCGAGTTGTAGTTGTCATTCGGACAGAGTAATTAGACTTGGCAATACTAAGCAAACTTCTCGACATGATTAAATACTGGTGCGCACAAGAAATTTGCTCCTTTGGGCATAATTACCACACTGTGGCTGTTGAGATTTGAACCTTGGTCTCCCTACTGTCTAAGAACCAGTGAGCTAAGCGGCAGGAGCATCTAGGATGAGATAAATCATAATAACTAGATTATTGTTTTTAAATTTCACCCCTATAAATAACTGAGCTGCTAGTAATCTTGTCTAAGGCATTCATTGAGATCATAGTAGATTTTCAGATGGTAAGTTGTCCAATCGTTAAAGAATAATGTATTCAACTAGACCTAATTTACTAAGTCGAAGATAATTATCCCAACACTTTAATAAAATGCATACACAGTTGTTCCACTTTCAAGAATTGTGGCTCTACCAATATGGCCGACATGGCGACATTATGTCCATGTAGTGTGAACTGTGTGACTATCTTGACCCCCACACAAACCAACCCACTAATTTTGTTCACATTGCTATCCTCTTTGTTAAAAGTGTATTGTTCCCTCGACTTAGGGGCATATTTCATACTTTTTTACTTATTTTTAGAAGTTAAACTAAGAATATGGCCACCAATAGCAAGTTCAATTGACTTTCCTTTTTCTGTTTTTTTTCCTAATCTTAATAAAGAAAAAGTGGTTTTTTTTCCTAATCTTAATAAAGAAAAAGTTAGAGGGTGACTAACTGACAATTATCCTTCTCCCAAAAAGTTAAATCCTCAATCGGGTTCTTATATCTCGACCTTAATTACGGAGCATTTGGGAGGAGGTAAGAATGATGCTATTTATTATATATGAAGTGTTTGCTCACTTAACCGCACGAACGATACAAGATTTAGTGCATAACGTTTTTTCTTTTTTGAGTTCGCAGTCGCTTTATAAACAAACCACCAATAATGTTCAACTTAAAGATCATATTAAAAAAAAAAAAAATGCCCAGAATATATTGGTCCCAGGGGTGATGGCCTGATGGGATTGATCAGAAACAAGTGCATCAGCAAAGACACTGAAAGCTATCATGATAAAGAACAAGAATAAAGTAAAAGAAGAGTTCTAAACAACCTGATTCTTGTATACTTTTCTGTTTTTTCTTTTTTTCCTAAACCATACCCAAAAAAAAAAAAAAAAACAAAACAAAACAAAACAAACAAGGTGGTACTGAACTGAAGTACAAAGAAAAACCAGAAAGGAGATGTTCCAGAACATGAAGTTTTTATATCAGAACATGGCAAATGCAACATATATATAGTAATAATAATAGTCATAAGTATATATAGTAACACTCCAAAGTCCAAACTGCTGCCTAGGACAAACAAGGGCACAGAACAATCAACTTACAAAGCGATTGCGCTACAATTATCTTGCTCTCCTTGCCAAGACCAAACGATTTCTTTGAGGGCTGGTCTGATCTGTTGTCTCAGCATGTTCTGATACTCCATCACGCTACCACTTGATCGTTTCATCTCGACCGAATAGAACGACGATGTTATTTCATAAACTGCAACATCAATGGAGAGAGCCCCAAATCCTACTTCGTTGTCACCACCACCCTCGTGTGATCCTTTCAGCACCATTCTCGTCCCTCCTCCCTCTCGTGTCACTTCCAGCTTCAGATCCCTAGCAATTTCGTCAAACTTCCCCATGATAGCTGATCTAGGCTGCACAGATGTGAATTGCACTTCCTCCTTTTGGTCGAGGCTCACAAAGAAACCGGACAGGTCAAAGCCAGTTGAGAGAGAGATGATCTCGAACGCGTTTAGGTATGTAGCAGGATGTTTTGCCATTGCCATTGCCATTTCTTGTTTTTCCTCTGGGGCGTGATCATGATCAAGAACAACAGGGTTTGGGATTTGGAGAGTCATCGCTTCTAAACCTCCTTTGAACCACGAGTGTTGCTTGATTTTGGCTATAGATAGCCTAGTGTGGGGGTTTGGATCAAGAATCTTTGACAGCAATCTTCTCACTTCTTGTGGGAACCAGCTCGGGCATCTATATTCGGCCTTGGTTATTCTCCTGTACATCTCCATAAGGTTGGAGCTATGAAATGGGAGATACCCAGCAAGCAAAACGAACAAAATCACCCCACACGACCAAATGTCAGCCTTCTCACCGTTGTACCCTTTCCTACTAATCACCTCGGGTGCAACGTAGGCCGGGGTTCCACACGTGGTGTGAAGCAAGTCGTCTTGCTGTTTAGACTCGGCCAAAGCACTCAATCCAAAGTCAGACACCTTCAAGTTCCCATCCTCGTCTAGGAGCAGGTTTTCCAGTTTCAAATCGCGATGATAAACGCCTCGGTTGTGGCAGAATTCCACAGCATCAATCAGCTGCTGAAAGTACTTCCTCGCCACGCTCTCCACCAGCCTCCCTTTCGCGACCTTGTTGAAAAGCTCCCCGCCTTTTACATACTCCAACACGAGGAAAATCTTCGACTTGGTGGCCATTACCTCGTACAGCTGCACCACGTTCGGATGTTTGATCAATCCCATGACAGATATCTCCCGTTTGGTCTGATTCACCATGTCGGTTATCATAACCTTCTCTTTGTTAATTACCTTAATTGCTACACTCTGTCCAGATTTCAGATCCCTACCATGGTAAACCTTAGCGAAATTGCCTTGGCCCAGCACTCTTCCAACCTCGTATTTCTGCATCAAAATGTTCCTTCTGTTCTCCGTTTTCATTTCCATTTCCTCAAGAACTACAACACAACTACTCGTACTGTTCTCAACTATCACAAAGAATGTCAAGCGTCAGCCCAATAGGAAGCACGAACTAGTTCAGCTGGTTCGAGAACAAAAACCGTGCTTTCAGGTTTATGGACAAACAACCTCAAGTAATTTGCTGAGATAAGAATGAGCAATAATTCCCATCTTTCCACATTCTCATGCAAATCAATATGTGATAGTGAAGAGGCAATGGACCTAGAAGAACACAAGAGAGTTTATGTTAGATTCCTATAATGCAAGATACAATGATAATCAACTCAACTCACCCAAACATCTCTTAAAGTTGCAAATTTTGGCTTCATTATAACTCCCCCCCCCCCCAACACCCCACCTCCTCCCACCCCACAACCCCCTTTTACATTTTTGAGGCAACCAAACCAAGTTGGTCAGTTCACTTAGGAACTACAAGGTTACTCCCTGCGGCAGCCTATCGGCCTTCTTGGTTTCAGCTGATCAACTATGGGCAATCTAAGTTGATTTATCTTTTTGTGGTCATTTGGCAGTTAGGGTCATAAGGCGAAGTTTACATGGTGCAGGCTCTCAACAATGACTGTGATTTTCTCTCGTCACTCTAGGAATTTAAAAGGAAAAAAAAAAAAAAAGAAGAAAGATCTAAATATGAATCTTTGGTTTCAAATTCCAGACTCTCTAAAGTGCATCTTGCAATTGGAATGCATGTCAAATGATTGAAACCCATAATTGATTAGCATAAGGAAAACAATACAAAGACAAAACAACAATCAAAAGAGAACCAGAAATGCAGGCAAACCGGCATTTTTAAAATTTGAAACCAAAGATTCATCCGACAAAACAAAATGATTCACGTACATAATTCACAAAAAGATCCAAACTTTCTCGCACCCATTACTCATATACAAACGTACACTACACAAACACAGCAAAAATCAAACAATTCATCACCCATCTATGACAGCCATTACCAAGCAACATAATTTACAAAAATTGCAAAAAACAAAAGACGAAAGGAAACAGAGATGGGTGTGAGAGAAGAATACTTGAAAGCGTTAGAGGTGCAGAAGAGCTCCGATGGATCCGAAGCTCAAAGACATATATATATATATATAGAGAGAGAGAGAGAGAGAGAGAGGAATGGAGGGGAGGAAAGTGAGAATGGGCAACGTGAATTTATTACATATTCCTGTGAAACGTTACAAAGCAGGTTTATAAGCCCCAGCGAATCCTGTAAATCTGTAATCAAAAGGCAATGGGTAACGCATATCCAATCAATCGCTATTCGGGTACGTACTCATCACTGTAATGACAGCGAAGTACCCATAGATTTCTCTGCCTCATTCAATTTCATTTCCTATCTGGCTAAAACTGTTTCTGTTGGTCCGAAAAATGGTGAAATCTTTTGGTCAATTCATATTTTTGAGTAATGGCGGCAGAGTTTTTCATGTTCACAAAATTTGTTTTTGTTTTTGTACAAATATAACGTATGAAAAATTCTAGAAATCTTATGTCGAATTATACATGATAGAAATACGGTAAAATAAGTTATATTACATATTACAACATTAGTGTTAGTAGTACCGTTACTGCATGATTGTATTAAGAATGTTTCGTTTAATAAAATTTTTTTTTCAGTTACAAAAAAAGTCAAATGTTTTTTAAAATTTATATTTGTGTATAGTGAAACGGTAGAATTTTTTTTTTTTAATTTATAAAAAATTTAGAATAGCTACTCAAATGTACATTCTAGGTGAAACTCACCTTTGACAAAGAAATACATTGAGATAAATTAACTTATATTGTTCATAATTGACAAGCTTAAACCAAGAAAAGCAATTGACAACTTTCATGAGACGCTAAATTTATAATTTTATAATTATCAAGTCAACTATTCGACTGAAATTACTCAAACTTTGCTATAGGAATGAGGAACCTTTATTGCTTTCTCAGTCTTTTTTTTTTTTTCTTGACCGTTGCTCTATGTTTTTTTTTTATTATTGATAATGACCGTTGCTCTATGTAAAGCACAAAAAAGCTTGCCAACTAACTTAATGCCTTTTACATAAATTTCAAAATGATACAATCAATTATTATTAAACAAAATGATTCAAAATTAGTAAATTACCCGATTTAGTCTTAACTTCTTTTAATTTTTCTCTAAACCAAACCAACCAAAAAAGCCATTCTGATCTGGCATTAGGCTTATCACATGTTTAATATAGCAGCATCATTAATTGCCTGCAGTTAATACTTAGTAATCAACGAAACCAGACAGAACACATCGTTCAATTCCTGTACAAAATACATCAAAATGAAGGCTTTATGCCAAGTTAAATGTCCCATCTCTTTCTAACTACTACTTACAACAGCCAAAATGACTTCCCCATTCCATAGTTTCCACTGCTTAAACTCTCTTCAAAACTGATAAATCTGCCATTTTGAGAATGACACTCTGAATCGGATTTCTCAACGAAACAACCAAGCGTTCTTCAATCTCCTGTTTCAGAAAGCCAAGTTTAACTGCATTTCTTGCAGGGATAAATCTGAAGATATGTGTAGAAGGAGAAATGCTACATACCATTTTACATGGGAGTTGAGGCCTTCACTTTCATCTGAATAAAAGTTCAAGAATTCACCAGAATCGTCGTAATCTTCAGAACACATGCAATCTTTATAGCTCTGTAATCTTTTAGAACATAAGCAATTTGAAAGAATATATACATGGATTGACACTTCAAAGAATAAAGATATATATACCTTATCATACTTGCCAACCTCGGCTGAATCAGCCTCATCATCCACCTAAAATTGGATATTCAATTAGAGAACTCATGTTTGAATCTTAAACTCAACATATATGGGATCGTATTCTTCTTGCTTATACTAAAGAAAAACATGAACTTTCGGAATGAGAAGCGAGAGTGAGACTAGGACAACAAGCCAGCAACTATTTGCTTGAACAGTGTACATGGAAAAATATAAAATTTCAATGGGTTTGATGATTTGTGTGATGATTGAAAAGTAGAGTGAGAATGGATATGTATCTATACCAGTGGCATATTAATCTCCTCGATGATTAAACATTCCCAGTAAGCTGAACAGATCTTTTGAGCTTGAAGCTCATAGGGTTGCCTCTCCTAAGAGTGAATCAAACAAAGAATAGAACAATACAAAAAAGAAACATCATTGGTTATTTAAGATAAGAGAAATATAACCATATAATTCTAAGTTGTTTAAACACAGAAGAATGAATATAATACCTTTTTTGACATGCATCTCCATGTTTCAAACCCTCCCCTATCAACATCAATTTCATTCCCATCCTTGCATTTCTTCACAAACTCCTCCCTACACCAACCCATTAGCAACAGAATTAAGCTTCAAAATTTCCCAAATAACAATAATAATAATAAAGTTTTATCTCTCGGAACAGCCTATTGGACTTCTTGGTTTCAGTTGATCAGCTATGGACAAACTAAGTTAATTTATATTTTTGTGGTCATTAGCCGTCTAGGATCACGCACTAAATTATCCCTCGGATAGTTTCCCTCTTCACTCAAAAAAAAACAAAATTTCCAAAAGAAATAGATAATGCACACACATTAATACAACTCACAAACACCAACCATGAACACAATCAGCCTAGAAATCATGGGATTCCGTGTTAGAAGCATTTTATCAAACATGTTATTGGCATCTCACTTGACAGACACACGTTAAACATGTACAGGCGTTAGCGGAAATGCATATGAAACTATGAAAGGAATGGAAAGATGGCGTACATAAATAACCGAAATGCCGATCTGGGTTGGTCTTGAAACCTCATTTCTTCGCCATTTTTACTCGGTTCTTTCCTGGTTTTGATCCCGCATTGAGTTTTGGCCTTCTTGACAACCCTTCCCGCCCCGCATTCATGCATGTCAGCCAGAGCAATTGGCACTGAAAGGCCACAGCTTTCACTGCAACACAAATAGCCCATTTATAAATACACACCACCAATCATGAATCCAGAATTTAATTCCCAGCACTGATTAATATCAATCATTCAATCCAACAACCAAAAGAAAATTAAAAACCATTTTTGAAAAGCACTGCCGTCTGGGCCACGACGAATGGGTATAGCGTGGATTCTTTTCCTGGGGTAAGCCATTGAATTGCCGTCACTTTGAACTTTGAAGCTGTCTCTAGAAGTTCTTGAATGATCTTGACGCTATTTATGTCTGGGTTTTGCACTTCCATTGAGCTAATATGCGCCATTACTGTGACAAAATGTGCGCGCGGGGGCTCGATTATTGGAGGGGAAGCGCCTTTTGTAAAAAAAGCCCAAAAGATTTCCCGCGAAGAGTAGAATGTACGGACTTGTGAAGAGGCGACACGTGGCGGACAAAAGGATCCTAATTTCTCTACATTCCTTCTCGTATTGCACGTAATATATATATTTTTTTGGAATAAGGTTCGAATTGGTCACTGAACGTTACCTAAAAATACAATTAGGTCACTGAACGAAAAAAAGATGTAATTAGACCACTGAACATCTAAAAAGGTGCAATTAGGCCACTAAACACTCCAAATGTATGCAATTTCACCAGATAGCAGGTTACCATCAATTTTAGCAGGTTACCTGCTTACGTGGCAGCTTAGTTGACATTTTTAATAATTTGTAAATAATTTTAATAACTTTTAATAATAAATTTAAAAAAGAATTGAAAAATAAATAAATAAATAATTTTTTTTTAAAAAAAAATTGTTTTAACTATTTTTTTTTTTAAAAAAAAAACTTTATTATTAAACTTTATTAAACATTATTTAAAAATTATTAAAAATACCAACTCAGCTGCCATGTAAGCAGGTAACCTGCTAAAATTGATGGTAACCTGCTATCAGGTGAAATTGCATACATTTAGAGTGTTTAGTGGCCTAATTGCACATTTTTTTCGTTCAGTGGCCTAATTGCATTTTTGGGTTACGTTCAGTGGCCAATTTGAACCTTATTTCTTTTCTTTTTTTTTTCAACGACAACAAAGGAGAATACGAAAGACAAATATTTTTTTTTTAAAGACGAAAGACAAATATATTTCTATAACTCCATACATTAAAATTACGAAAGAGATGTTAACTACTATGTAGTGTAATGATATCTAGATTACAATTCAAAATAAGTTATCATAGATTCAATCACGAGTGGTGGAGTAACAACCCTAACGCCCACAATTCAATCCCAGAAATATTGCCCACAATTCATCCTATAGCTCTATGTAACACCCAACTTATATGCAAATTCCCTAACTTATTTGCAAATCCCCTAAACCACTCCCCTCATTTATTTCATGACACAAATTATTGTAGAAAAATCATATGTGATAACCAGTTCTGGTGACGTGAGTGACCATGTACTCTCATCCCTTAAGAGAGGTCGAGAGTTCAAATCATTTCTCGTATAGAAAAACCAATCTGGCCAACACTTTGCCATTTAATTGGGTTAGTCCGGTGCGAATGAGATTAGTCTGAGTATGGTGCGGGCTTAGGACACCTCATAGTCTGACAAAGAGAAAAAAAAAAAATCATGCGTGACGGTTTTAATCCATAGAATGTCAACAAAAATCAAACTTGTGATCTTCATATACGAAAATCATACTCTACTCATTTGATCACATTTTTTGGAATATTAACATTACGATGTCAATTTCAGTCTACCATGCGTATATCCACCCGAATCCATATCGCATTGATGAGGGTTTTTTTTTTTTTTTTGATAGTATGTGGTCAATTGTTATATCGTGCACCAGGGCGCACAATGCATTGTGCGCCCTAAAAATTTCCCGTTTCGTATGTACATAATTGTATAGTAGAATACACAAACTCCTAACATAATATACATAATCTTAACATAATACATAATACACATAAAGTCTTAACATAATACACATGAACTCTTAACATAATATACATAAACTCTTAACGTAATACACATAAACTCCTAACGTAATATACATAAACTGTTAACATAATACACATAAACTCTTAGGGCACACAATGCATTGTGCACCCTGGTGCACGATATAATTTGCTGTATGTGATAGGGTGGGCCTGGTGGGTCTTAAAAATTAAACATCCGGTAAGTCGGGTTGAATTCGGATTCTATATACAAAGCTTGCCTAGAACCTCACCTCAAGATTTAATAACTTTTGTCAACTGAGATTAGTCTATGTATGGTACGGGCTTAAAGATATCTATTGCTCTCCTATAATTATGGTATACTCAAGACACCTCGCGGTCTAACAAAAAAATATTATATATTTGAATATTTCTATTGTTTTATGTTTTAGTACGTATAACTTTTTTTTTTTGAAAGGATGTTTTAGTATAACTAATAAGTGATAGTTACCCGTAATAGGCAATCGCACCCGGTGACATAATGTAGGTTTTGAAAAAGTTCACCCAATTCTGGTCGAGGGTGGAATAGATAGAGAAAGTATATAAGGTATGTCATATGGTGAATGTAGCCCTCCCCAAACCACCTTGACTCATTGATATCCCTACATCCCACACGTCTTTTAATTTGTTTTCTCAACTTCAATTTCATGTCTTATATCAGCCCTGTTTGGTAAAATAGTTAGTCTATCGGATAATTTTGATTTATTTGACCACTATTAATTGTTTGACTTGGTTAAAAAAATCAACGTAAGTGTTTGGTTAATTAGTTTTTTGTAACTCCAAAATGCTAAAATTCAAAAAATTGCTCAAAGCAACTTTTTCAATTAACTTTTTTTTTTAAAAAAAATATCAAACAGCTAATTTACCAAACACATTTCTACAATCAATTAATGTTAACAACTAGTTATATCTTCTAATTAACTCAATCAGCTAACAGCTAACCGCCATTTACCAAACATGTCATCATCTTTTTTTGTTGTTGGGCGATAATTTTATTGTTATTAGGAACTAAATCGGCAACTATATTCAATTACACGCTCAAATTTTAATATTATTTACATACAAAATGTAAACACCGTACCAATCGTCATCATCTGTTTTCATTGATGTCATTGTGTGTGCATGTTCGTTGTAGAGGAATGAAGTCAATGGGATTAACAGATTGTTTAAACGATGACGTTAAAGCTTTCATGTGCACGTTGGACTGAAGAACGTAATACTCTTATGAGGATAACCATGTGATGATGGGCGGTCACATGAATTTTCTGGATTTGCATGTGCCTATAAATTAAATTTTCTGTTGCAAGTACGAGAATTTTTAAAACAAAGTATATTTATGTTTTTAACAATTTATTCTTAAAATTTTAGAGAAACTACCATAAACGTTTTGTAATCGTTTTTGTAATTAAAAATATTTTCGAATGTATTTATGTCAAATTAAAACATCTTTTAGTAATCTACAAATACAATTTTTTCTAGATTATCGCATTCGTGTCTCTCTGTATATATCCCATTTGTGATCTTTTTTTTGTGTGGGTACTACCTATATGGTGCTTAACGATGAGTAGGAAACCAATCTATTATTGGTCGTGTTTTAAGTACTCCGTATAAGGTATAACCTTAAATAGTTAATACAACAAGACTTTGAAGAAATGTCCTTAATCTTAAACATGCAAACCCCCATAGTTTTTAAGAAAATATTATTCGTATCAAATATTTTATTAATCAAGTTATCATATATATTGAGTTTGTCAAATAATTGACTTAATAATAATCACAAAGTTCAAAGGTAGGATTCATGACAAATTTCATTGCGGAGCTATGGGACCTCATAGAGGGGCATATCATTGTTAAAAACCGTGGATTGAGTAGGATTGTGGTGGAGACAGACTCTGAAACGATGGTCTAGGCCATTAAAGGAGACTCTGAGTCCTGCCCAGAAGTTCAAACCTTGATAACTGATTGCAAAGCCATTTTGAGGTAGGTGGGAGATATTAATATCACCTATGTGCTCCGGAAAGGTAACCAATGTGCAGACCACATGACTAATATGGGACAAGCTAGCTACTAGGAACGTTGGTCCTTGATCACCCTCCCGAGGGAATTAGGGCGCTTCTTGAGAAGAATGCTTGTGGCGACGTATCTACTAATCTTAGGACCTATTGGTCCCTCGGGCGTAAATAAATAAATAATCACAAAGTTCAAAGTTTGACTCCACATGAAATTTGCTTATTAGACATCTTGATTTGAGCGTGTCAGTTATGAACAACATAAATTAATGGTTTAATTTACATTGAGTTAATACCCAAAATCGTCCTCAACTATAGTGGTTTTTCTCAATTTCGTCCTAAACGATTTTAGTGACCTAATATCGTCCCAGACTTTTGTGTTTCGCTCAATTTAGTCCTTTCATTTGTTATTCCGTCAAATTGGTGTTAAATAAAGGGACAATTCAGTAATGTCAATATTGATCTCTCTTTACTTTCAACTTGTGAAGTGCGAAATTCCTCTTTCTTGTACGAATTACACCCAGAATTACTCCCGGACCTGCGAATCAAATTTTATATTCACAGTTTTAGGAGTAATTCGTAAAAAAAAAAAAAAAAAAAAGATTTCGCAATTCACATGTCTATGAGTAAAGAGATGTCAATATTATTAAAATTACTGAATTGTCTATTTATTTAACACCAAATAGACAAAATAACAAATGAGGGACTAAATTGAGCAAAAACACAAAAGTCTGGGACTAAATTGAGCGAAACACAAAAGTGTGGGACGATATTAGGTCACCAAAGTTGTTTAGGATGAAATTGAGAAAAACCACTATAGTCGAGGACGATTTTGGGTATTAACTCAATTTACATTCTTGTACTTGTTTGTCGGCTAAAAGGTTACAAGCACCTATGGGTATGGACAACCTAGGTTGATTTACTTTTTCTGTTGTTATTTAGTGACTAGGGTCATAAGGCGCGTTCCATCAAAAGCATCCTTTTTCGGGTAATGACTAAAAACTTTTATGTAAATAAGAGTTTATCTATATATCATCATTTATTTTTTATTTGAATGACTGGAATACCATACCTCGCAAAAAATCAACTAATCATCTCTCTAGAACTCTTGAAACGTAACACCACCAAGAGACACTCGCCCTATCTTCACTTAAAATATTATCTGAAGGGGAATTATATTTTCCATCATCCACAAAACTTGAATGCTCTGAAAGGATACACCCGTCACATATAAAATCATCCGCCCTATACTATATAGTTAAAGAGATAGATAAAAATGATATTAGTTGAACTAGGGTTGGTTTCATCATGATATTAGTTAAAAATGATATTAGTTGTCACTTCACCAAACGTGGAAATTAATACTTTCCAAAAATGGTGATGGAGTCATCCACCATACCAACCTCAAGCTTGCTTGTGGCAAATTTTACTCTGGACCATGGTCTAAAATGACACTCATTCTGTATAATTAATTCTGTTTGTATAATCGGTTCAGTTTCATTTCAGCATAACTAAAGTTTCATTTTGTTCTAACTACAGTTTCATTTGATATTATACATCCAGTACGCTTATTACATTGAGACCTGTTATTGAAGTTCATTTTATACACACTGTAGTTTTATTACAAAACACGACTAAATTATAATTCTAATTCAACTCCGGTTTCATTGGATAGTATAGACTCAAATATGTGGAATTATTATTCAATTTCATTTTATATACACTGTAATTTTATTACAACACAACTAAAGTATCATTTTGATATAACTATAGTTTATTTGACAATATACATTCAATATGTGAAAAACATGTTATTCAATTTCTTTTTTATACATATTGTGATTTTATTTAAGCAAAATTAAAGTATCATTTCAATTCAACTACGTACAGTTTAATTTGACGATATACACACAATATAATATGTGAGACATGTTATTCGGTTTCATTTTATACATACTGCAGTTTAATTTCAACACAACTAAAGTAGTAAAACATCATTTCAATTTAATTACAATTTCATTTGATAATATAAATACATGCACATAAATATGTGAGAGAAGTTATTCAGCTTCATTTTTAGATACACTATAGTTTCATTTTATTTTGAACATATCAGAAATATAATATTTGTTAAATATAACGACCGTTGTTTCTTTACTTATAAAATTACGCCGTTTTAAAACCATGATCCACCGTATAACAATTGCTTACGTGTTACTTTATCCTCACCTGCAACTGAACGTTTGTTGCCTAAATTAGAATTTACATTAAATCCATGAAAAGAAAGGAAACTAACTAAATCGATCTGCCAACCGCCCACTGCATGTACTGATCAACGTAACCATGGTTAGAGAGTTTTGGTATTGCAACAATTATAATTAATTTGAAATCGATTTATTACTTGTCGGTATGATGATACATGAGAATTTATTACTTTCACCAAAAAAATAAAAAATAAAATGAAGAATTTATTATAAATGAGTTGAATTATGATAAGTTTCTTAAAATCAAGTTATGTAGATTTATAATCGGATCTATTTCCTCTTGCATAAATACTAGCTCCTCCTCACTAGGCAAACCAAGTCTTATTGGTATATGTATTTAATTTGCTATTAACATATATGTATCCACGTTTAACATATGATATACCTTCAATTTATTTATCTACCACGTTCAAATATTATGTAATATAGCAAATACATAATGTTGATTGAATGTACATAATCTATTAACTGGAAGTACATAATCTGGATCAAGATTTACAATACTTATGGTAATCATTGTACGCTATATAATTGCAATCCAATCCACGAGGTTGATCACGTCCTCTTATACCAAGCCCATAATTCCTTTCACGGTCACCGATGCTTATAATGTAGAATAGGGTCCACATAACAATATTGACTTCGATACATGTTGATTTTTAATAAACTATAAGATCATTTTTAATAAATTACAATATATTTTATTTTGATTTGAAATACATTCAAAATGAACCTACAAGAAATATACTAAAAGTACATTAAAATGAACTTATAATATACTAAAAATGAATATTTAAGAAAATTTAATTTACAAAATAGATTAATACTGCACAACGTAATTTGCCTATTATCAATTATTTAATCACACTTTAAGCCGGTCCATAGTTTAAACTCGCGCGGACCATATCCTAATTAAGACTAGTAAGTCTATAACTTTTTCAAATGTCATATATGTACTATATATGCCTAGAACGAGAGTGGCTTTATACCTAAAAGATTCGTTCTTCGAATGACAAAGACATCATCATTGAAATGTTCGGAATTACTACCTACGTTATATATTCAAATAACATGTGAATAACTTTGTGATCTAGAGATTTTGTGTTCAAAAAAAATTTTGTACTGTGATCTAGTGGCACAGAGTGACTCTCTCAAATAGGAGGTCATGTGTTTGTGCGATACTACAAGTTTATTAATCTTCTTAATTTACCTGCTAAGATCACAATGCAGAGTTTACCCAATACACATAGACACTCTAACCATAATAATAACTTATGATGACTCTCTCTCTCTCTCTCTCTCTATATATATATATATATATATATATATATATATATATATATATAAAGGGGTTCCTGTACGGTTGAGCTGAGGGGGGTTCCTGTGCGGTTGAGGGTGCCAGGGGCAAGAACCATTAATTTTGCTTAAATCAACGTTTAGATTACCAAAATTAAATTAAAAAATACGGTGACATTTTGATAATTTTTGCATCTAGGTAAATTTAAGGTGTTTGTGTTTGGATTTAATGTGCGTGAGTTTTGTGGTTAATATGTGTGTGGTTTGTACTTAAGGTGCGTGTAGTTTGTGCTTAAGGTGCGTGAGGGTTGTGCATAAGGTGCGTGAGGTTAGTGATTAATGTCAGTAGTTGTTGAAACTTAGGGTGCGTGAGGTTTTTGCTTAAGGTGCGTGGGGTTTGTGTTTAATGTGCGTGGGGTTAGTGATTAATGTCAGTAGTTGTTGAAATTTAAGGTGTGTGAGTAATACTTAAAGTGCGTCAGTTTAATGCTTAATGTGCATGTGTTTTATGCTTAATGTGCGTGAGTTTTTGCTTAATGTGAGTCATTTTAAAATCTTAAATGCGTGAATTTTGTGCTTAAGGTGCGTGGTTTATGTACCTAATGTGAGTGATTTGAGTTCTTAAAGTACTTTGTTTGTGTGCTTAAGGTGCGTGATGATTTTTATATTTAAGATGCGTCATGTTAATGTTTAAAGTGCGTCTAACTGCACAACCGCACGAGAAGTATCATCCGCACCTGAACCCTTCCATATATATATATATATAAAAGTTAGGAATAGCCTCCTGCTAGCCAGTAGCCAATTCCAACAGGCAATAAGAATATATAAAATATTTGCATGGTGTGTCATCAATCAATCCATAAATAAATACTGTTCCCTTCTCACTTCTTGCTCCTCCATAGATCTTGAACTGGGGGTATGTATTGTAGTTGACTTGCGGATTGAGAGAGAATTGAAAGTATACCCAAAACACCAAAAAAAAAAAAAAAAAAATGTTCAGTTCTGGTAGCCATGGCGAACAAGAATTTCTTATAATAAAGCCAGATGACAAGTTTTTCTCAAGGCTGTTATCGAAGGAGAAAGCCAAAGGCGGCGGCGGCGGAGATTCCTCGTTGAGATTCTACTACCGCGCAGGATGTTCCGGCTCCATTCCGTTCCACTGGGAATCACAGCCGGGAACGCCCAAACACGCCCTTCCCGATTCTTGCATCTTCAATCCTCCGCTCACTCCTCCGCCTTCGTTCCATAGCTCCGCCGCCGCCGCCCACCCCAAATCCATGCAAAAACAACCCTCGAAGACCAAGCTTTTTCTCTCCAATTTCCCCGGGAAATTAGCCCGGTCTTCTTCCACCCCCGCCGGCGATTTTCCACCTTCACCTCTGTTCTCCCGTGGCCGGAGTCGGAGTTCTAAGGGCGGCTTCGGAAGGTTTTACTATGTAAAGAACATGAAGAGAGCACTTCTGTCGGTGGTCGGTCGTGGTGGTTCTTCAGTTTGACTTAATAAAATATAGATAATATGATTATGAGAATAATATAATGGAGGTCCGATCCGCATGTATATTATCTAGGTTGTATCGAGTGTTGTAAAATACTTGTTTTTACACTACTCGGTGTAACCATACTAAATGTGATTGCATTTTGTTCTTTTAAATTACATATGAGCATATATTACTTTATTAATAAGGTTAAAATAGTACAACCAAAGATGGAGTGAGGGGCCTTACTTCTCAAAGGCTGGTGAGAGACAAGGGGATCCCCATCGTCTTTGACTAGTTAAGTTTTTTTCACTCAATCACTCGAATAGTAAGGTCCCTTTGTTTCTGGCCTTACTATTTCAATTCATTTGTTTCGAGTATGGACTTGATTATTAAACACAGTTTTAAATGCCTCATTTGGATTTGGATTTTTATAGTGTTTTGAGTGGTATTTTAATAAAATTGTATTTAAAAAAAAAAAATTAACAAATTACATACTATATGATTTTAATTAATATGGATAGTGACATAGTGTTACGTTACTATCAAGAGTGCACCACGCAGAATTTGGGATAATTTGCACTCGATATAGTGCTAATCATGTGTTGCATTATAAAATAAATCACTGATATACATATTTATTTTAAATATATTGTATGTTTTTTTATTGTATAACAAATTTAGTATTATTAAGTTAATTATATTTGGATATATTTTATTTTTAATGTATTACTTGTATCGGTAGTCTTCGATCGAATATAATTTTAAAAATGGTCCATTCTTGCATTATTGTTGGAAGACCCTAAGCATGAAAGCAATAGGTTTTAGGGACCCTGGAAAGTGATGTTGCGGACTTGCGCTCTGATCCGTACCTTGTTTTAATTTGGTTATTATTTAACGGCAAATTATTGTGTCGATTATAGTCCACAAAGTGCTGCATGGACTATAGTAAAAAGTACATTTTTAATATATTAAATGTACATTATTTGTATTCTGAATGTATATTATATAATATAATGTACATTTGAATGTATATTATTTAACAGTATACAAAATATGATCCACGTTATTTAACGTAATTAAACATTTGAGTTCAATTTAAGGATGTTAAGTGGGCTTGATAAAATCAACATGGACTCGGAAGTCGGAAGTCGGAACTATAACGGGCTGAGTTAGGGCGACTCATATTAATAGGGCTAACCTAATAGTGAAATAGCATTTTTATTCTTTCAAAGTCGGTTCCGTGAACAAAACATGCGGTAAGTGATATGTAACAATCGTTATGCTCTGGAGTAAGGTGGACACGGCTCTATGTTCATAATTACTGAATTATATGTTCATAATTAAGGCTCCCTGTACACTCCGTGCTCCTATTCGGGTCGAGGCAAACAGTTCGGATCAAGATCAACGGGTCAATGTCAAACCCGTCTTGATTGCACCTATTTAAGGGCACTTGACCCTTCATTTTTTGTTAGGGGGGGGGGGGGGATCCTCCTCTCCACTGAGAACATAGAATCCTCTATAGTCTCTCTAAACATTCAAAAACAACATTGAATAAAAGAGTTCTTTGATTTTATATTCATATGATTCTCATACTTGCTTTATACATACGATATACACTCCGAATAATTATTCACATCATTATATATTCATAATTTTTGAATTTCATATTAATAATTATTAAATTATATATTCACAATTATTGAACTCTATATTCGTAATTACTGAATTATATGTTTATAATTATAAAATTATATATTCATAATTTTTGAATTTTATATTCACAATTATTGAATCTCTATATTCATAATTACAGAATTATATGTTCATAATTATGTTCACAACTCTATGTTCATAATTATAGAATTATATGTTCAAAAACAATATATTCATAATTATAAAGAGTAATGGTAAGTGGTGGAAGAATTAATTTGGCGGTGCTAATGATAAAGAAGCAAGATCACATGTTTAATTTGTGTGATTAAGGAATTATTAACACAGAATCTCTATCTCTGCACTCCACAGCCACAGCCCACAGGGTGAAAAAAGTCAACCACATTAATGATGATTCACATGGCATTGTAAGATATAAGAAGGAAATTCTAAAAAAAAAAAAAAATTAATAATAATAAAATAAAACAAAAAATCAAATTAATTGAATCCTCGTACAGTAAACTACAAATGGCATTGATGGGGGCTATACAACATCCTGCATAAGTATCTTACTTGAGAAAAATACTTTTAAAGAGTTTTTAAAAATATATTGATATTTTTATAGTGTTTATTGATATTTTGTTGGAAAAAATAGCTTAAAAAATGGCATAAAAAGACATGTTAAGTGGCTATTTTGTGGTACAATTATCAGTGGGGTCCACTTTCGATTTGAGTCGGGTTAAATTCTAACTATGCCAAACTCCGGAACTGCCATCGAAACTGTGGTCTCGGCCAAAGGAGGCCGAGACGAGACAAGGCACCAAGGCCGAAACTGACTGGAAGTTTCGGCCTACACGAACCTGTACTGCTTTCTGTGACCGTTGGGTTCAATTCTTACTGTTACGGAATTAATTCTTTGAATTAATTTCAATCTTTATTTTTGAATTGAAACCCATGGTAAATGTTGCTGTTACAGGGTGTAGTGGGGGTGCCTTAAAGTGCCTCATTAAAAGCTTTTGGCTCCTTCACCCCTATATAAGAGAGGTAGTGAGAAACAGATTTTTATACACTACAGCACTACCACTATACACAAAACATTGTTTTCCAGCCTCAAAATTCTGCTTCTACTCACTTTCTTTGCCTACTGTGTTCAGAGCTTGTCTTGCTCGCCGGATCCTTTGTTTGAATGCTCAAACATTGGATCATAGCAAGTTTTATCCTGGGAAGCCTAGGCCACAACGCTTCTAGCATCTTTGGGAGGTGGCAAATAAGGTTTTAAGGAAAGAGTGCTCACTTGACTCTTGCAAAAACCCAACACCAAACACTAGCCAAATTTCTTCATCTTTTCTTCCCTTCTTTCCAGAAAATAATAATCTTATTTTTTTGATTATTATTGGTGTTTTCTACCAACGGTACCAACATATTTTATTTGTTTTGATTCATATTTCAAAGATAAAGTCTTATTCAAGTATTTGGATTTTATATGTGATGTTCAAAAAAAATTACATTGATAATATCACCAAATAGTAGACTTTGAATTTGGAATGCCGATAGATTATAGATATCCCTATCTTGGAGTACCAATAGCAAGATATTCTCACAAATTTTGGAATTTTTTTTTTTTTAAAAAAAAAACTTTAATTTGGCTGTCTAAGAACCGGTAGACTAGCAAATTAAAGGTTGATGCAAGCCGTTTGCGAATAGACTAGCACACCAATTCATGTAGGTCTACTTAACTAGTATGCCAATCGACTAGCAAAGGCTTTTATGTTTAATGTATTAGTTTTATTATATTATAATTAATATAATAAACACTTGATCAGTTAGCATGATTCTCATCTGATTATGAACATATATATATATATATATATATATATATATATATATAATCCTAATCATATGAGAATCACTTATCATGTGAGAACTTGTGGAAAAATTCAATTATTAATCTACAAGACCCGATGTATGAAAAATCAAGTAGAAAATGAGCGGATCAATTTCATAAATATTACAAAATTTTATTTATTTTCAACCGTTAATTCTACCCGATCAATTGTTTGAATTTGTCTCCAGGTTCTCACCTCACCTGATTATAGACACACACACACACACACTTTGTCCGCAGGTTCTCACCTGATTGGACTCAACGTCTAAATTGTAGACATTTCTTTTGGATAAGACGATTAACTTGAAGATTTAAAGATCGAACTATTAACATTTGATTAATGATGGATGAGTCCTTTCAATTCAACCAGAATTATGTTAGTTGCTAATACATGATGATTAAAACCTTTCATGTATTAAAACCTTAGCTTGTAAGAAAGAGAATCAAATACATGCTCGAATTTCTTGTGTTCTCTATCTACCCACCCAAATATATATATATATATATATATATATATATATATATATATTTTTTTTTTTTTTCGACACTGTTGGATATATAATAATAGATTAATAGGTGTGATTGATTAAGAGAAAAAGAGTAGTTGGGCGATAGATACAGAAAACGGAATTGAATGACATAAATTAAGTAAAAAACAGGAGATGGAGATCTTATACTAAATCGTGAATATTTACAAAAATAATTAATTATAACAATTAACAAGAATATAATGACAATTACTTGTGTCAGTTGTGCGAAATGCGTTGTTCCCTAAATTATTTTAATCCTAATCACAGCAGCGCATTTATGAAAAAGTATAATTAAAAAAATTATTTTTATAAGGAAAGACCTCCCTATGAGGCCGCAAACGGATACGTGAGACGGGTTGAAACACGATAAAAATATAATATTTATACTAAAAATACAATACTAATCATGAATAAAGTACGTGTTTTTATTCATAAGAGAAAGTGTAATACTTTTTTAAAAAATGTAATATTTTAAAATCAAAATATAATAGTATTATATTACAATTTTTATCAAAAGTATTCACACTTTATTTTATAGCTAATAAACGATTTATTCCTGATTAGTATTACACTTTCGGGTATAAGTATACATTTTCATATTGACCGACCCGTCTAACGGATCCACACAAATTTTTACCTTTTATATTATAAGTGTATAGAAAATATGACATTTTAATTTAAAAAAAAAATTACACATCCCACGTAAAACAATCTCACATTATATAGGTATCAAACATAGCTTTAAAATATCTCACATTATATAGTTTGAATAATATAAATTCCACCCCCTCTCGTATGGAAATTAAAAATCAATCTTGCCACCACTTTGTCCCTTAATTGGGCTGGCCCGATGTGAATGAGGATTAGTCTGAGTATGATACAGACTTAAAAATTAGGACTTATTCATGACACCTTATGGTCTGATAAAAAAATAATATAAATTCCAACAAAACATCTCACATTACATACATGGTATAGGTTTAGCAACATAAACTTGGAAGGAACACAAACTAATACATTATTTAAAGGCAACATATTCTTAGATGGGTCTGTATTTGCTGTTTTGTGTCAATATCATTACATATTTAACATTACGCTACAAATTATAATTAATAGCGATCGGACAATTTTATTTCTATATACTTACACACACATTTTGATGGTATAATGCTGGATTCCACCCGGATTATAATTAATAGCGATCGGACAATTTTATTTCTATATACTTACACACACATTTTGATGGTATAATGCTGGATTCCACCCGGACATTAATTTCAATTCATATCAATATACCTAGGTAGATGTTCCTTATTTGCTTTCAGTAATTTTAATTTATCACATTTAGTAATACTAAACAATAATGGACCAGACCATCCTTTTCTTGTATTCCTTGCCTTTTAAGCACTCTCTTTCCATGCCACCACCCCCATCCCAACATACCTATATTTTCTGTCTTTCTCCCCTCAACCCCTTCCCTCTTTCTCTCTCTTCAAAACCTCATACACCCTCCACATATACATACAGCATATATGCCTGAATGTCCAGAGAAAGGTAACCCATCATCTTCAACATATAATGAATCCCCCCACCCCACACCCATATATATAAAATATGGGATGAGATTATAAAACTAAATAACTTGTTTTTCTTTACTTTGATAATTTGTTTGATCATCGCTTTGAAGTATTGCTTGTTGTTATACGTGCGTATATATGGTGTTTGTATAATTATTTCTTCATTTATTTATTTATTTATTTATTGTGATTGTGATTGTAATGATGTATAGGGAGAGATACGAGGAGATAGGGAAGAAGATAAAGCGGGAGCACGATGACTTGTCTCAGATGGGAAGAAGGCCGCCACCGCCGCCTCCCGGCGGAACCCTAAACACCATCACTCCTTGCGCCGCCTGTAAGCTTCTGCGCCGTCGCTGCACTCAAGAATGTCCCTTTTCGCCCTACTTTTCCCCCCACGAACCCCACAAATTCGCCTCCGTCCACAAAGTTTTCGGAGCTAGCAACGTTTCCAAGATGCTAATGGTACCTATACGTACACTACAAGTATATATAAAACCCTAATATATATATATATATATATATATATATATATATATATATATATATATATATATAGATGAATTTAATTTGTGCATTATTATATTTGCAGGAGGTTCCAGAGAGGCAAAGGGCAGAGACGGCGAACAGTTTAGTATATGAAGCAAATGTGAGGCTAAGAGATCCAGTTTATGGGTGCATGGGGGCAATTTCGGCATTACAGCAGAAGGTACAAGCTTTACAAGCTGAGCTTAATGCAGTGAAGACAGAGATTATGAGGTACAAGTTTGGGGAAGGCACCAATAATGACATTAATACCATTATTCCTTCTTCTCATCATCACCATGCAAATGCATCTTCACTTCTTACTTCCGGTGTTGTTTCTGTTGCTGCACCGCCGCCCTCCTCCTCTTCATTCTACACTCCGCCACCGTCTTCTTCCTCTGCCGCCGATTTTGGCATCGTTTCCAGTGAGAATATATCGTATTTTGGGTGAATTAATTAATTATGGACCTTTCATTCTGATTTATTTAACTTATATATATTTATGACGGAATTTATATATATATATATATATTATAATTACAGGTAATAAATTGATCGTTGGTACCATAAACAATGTTTCATTATTTTTAAGTACATGAAGATTAAACGTTATATTTCGTTATATATATGTGTTGTTTAAAATGCCTTTTTTTTTAAAAAAACCTGGGGTGCGGTTTAGTGGGAGGGGCTGGTTCATCTTTAACTAAATTAAAGGTTATGCATGCCTACAATTCAGCGAGGGGAAGGTGGAACAAAATGCCCCTTTTAATGTTTAAATAATTAAAACTTGAATTTATTGGTATGAATACGTCGGATAAATCTAAAATGGAAGAATTAATATGGGGTGTTTAATTGGTACTGCATTAATTGTGAATTAGTATGAAATGTTATATTAGTTAGGCTTTTAGATACTATATATGAGACATAGTAAATATCGTCATACAATAATGAAAATATTATGTTTCTCTAATCTCCTCCATTCTTTGTTGCCTCTTCTTTATTTTCTTGGAGTCCGAACAAGCTCAAAATGTAAACATTTGAAGCAAATATTAAGGTTGCTCATCATCATTTTAGGTAAATTTGTGTATGTGTAAAGCAAGTGTGCAATCCCGAAATGGCTAAATGAGTTAAACATGATTCTCGTATCTAAGGTTAGGAGTTTTACTATTGTGAATATTAATTATCTCTGGCCGAATTTGTTATACATGGTCTTCCTACAGTTTATATATTTTGTGTGGTTTACAATTATTACACGAATACAAAGTTTAATCAATACACACTTTTAGATAGTGAGATGTGTTTCACTCGTTGCCCAAAAATTAAATAAAAAGGTTTAATTTGTAGAGGTGAATTATATATTTTGTTAGATAGTCAATAGTCTTGCCAGTTTTTTTTTTTGGTGGAAAAAACTTGCCAGCTTGTTAATTATTCATATTTGTATATATTTAGGGTTTCCTTGGCGTGTGGAGTTCAACTTTACTATGAAGAAGCAAAGCAATCTTTAATAATGTAAAATAATAGCTTATTGGGAACTTCATTCCTTTCACTATCACTTTAATTATATTTGAGTATAACTCATCAATCATGTTGCGTTAAGTAGAGTTTAACTAATAATTCATTAAACAACATTATATTAAGGTACGTGAAAAATTATATACGCTTGAAATGGGTGACAAAATAGGTAGAACATGATTCTTGTAATAAAATATCATAAGTTCAATTATTCCTTACCAACACCTTCTTAATTAAGTCTATCAATTTTTGCCAATATTTTCTCGATCAAATTCGTTAAACAAGATCTACCTAGTATGTATTACCAAGTGCATACCTATTAAAGAGAAAACAAGAGTGCCTAATAGTTGTAGCTAGGTAGGTTGCACCACTTCCACTAATAATAATGTTGTAGCTATTTTATATATATATATATATATATATATATATATATATATGGTGAGAATCAACCTTAATCTGCGAACTGCGAACTACTTGTGAATAATTACACCGCACTTACTACATGATTGCACCCCAATCGGATACGATTGCACTGCAAGGTCCTCCATAGCATGTATAGGAGCAATAGTAGTGTAATCATGTAGTAATTGCAGTGCAATCCTTCACAAGTTCGCAGTTCGCAGGTTATATATATATATATATATATATATATATATATATATATATATATATATATATATATATATGATGTCATTTTCAAGTGTCCAAAAGAAGAAAAAAAAACTAATAATAGTGCAAGAATTGATGGAATTTGGTCTAAAGTCATGGTTACTTAAAAATGTGGCATCTTACTTATCTTTACACAACTTCCCATTCATTTCTTCTTGTTTTTCATTTCACAATTTCTTTAATTAATACAAATATTAACCTACTTTATGCCTTTACTTGCCCCAAAATCTCATCTTTGGCCACTCTTATGAGACAGCAAGTAGATGCAACTGCCTAGTAACATTCCATTGCAATTTTATATCACAATATATATAATTAATATTAGATGATAACAAGCAATCACATAAGAACGTGCGAACTAATCTCATCAGTCAATCTAATTAAGTTAAATAATTAAAGAATGAAAATTAAGAAAAAAAAAAAAAAAAAAAAACAACACACATATATATAGGGTGCTGCAACTCTTCCCCATGAAAAGAGTACTTTGTGTGCATTCATATTACTAATGAGTGATTTTCATTTGTTCACTAATATATATATATATATATATATATATATATATATATATATATGTTGCAGCAAGCTAGCCTTAATTACACTAATCCCACGTGAAGTTTAGGCAGTAGACTGTAGAGCTCGGCGACAATAACGCTATCTTCCAGCTCAGCCAGAATTATTACTCAGACCCTAATCACTATTTATTTATTTATTTTAACATAGATGATTAGAGCTTCGCGGAATTAATTCTAAACTCGCAGGACTCATTCTAAGAGACTGTGCGAATGTAAATCGTGAGTCACGTAATCAGTCTACCGATCAGATTCTAGTCTTTATGTGCGCACAAGAGATTCTATAATTTAGACATTCTATTATCCTTAAACATTTTTTTCTCATACATGTTTCCAGTAGGATTCCGACCCCACACTACTACCTCCAGAAGTCATAATTTTAAATCGAACGATGAACCAACAACGTTAAGTCCCGCTAGACTAATCTCTATTTACTTTTTTTTTTTTTTTTAATACCGTATTGACATCTATATTTTATGGAATAAGACTAAATTATTTGAATATCGCTATGTTCCACTCGAAGAAATAAGACTAATTTATTTGAATATCGTTAGGTTCTAAGGACAACTTTTTCAAAGACATTATTAGTTACTCGTATTATATATATATATATATATATATATATATATGTGTGTGTGTGTGTAGGTTCAAATTCCAGACATTATTATTATTATTATTATTATTATTATTATTATTATTATTTACCTCATCAAGTCGTTTTTAAAATATTGATTAATGGTGTTGATTAAATGTAATATGATAGGGATCTTTGGGAAGTAGAAATGATTATTATTTGACTTTTGTCTAGGCGGGATTTTTTCTCTGACAAAGACATGTATGTTTGTATGTTGATGGCAAAAAGGGTCCAGAAAGCTGTGTCAACTATTGTCTAAAATGACATCGTTAAATTTTATGAGTTAGAATAATGTATATTATGTGTTAAAATAATGTACATTATGTGTTAGAATAATGTACTTTATGTTTTAGAATACAATAAAGTACTTTATGTGTTAGAATAATATATATTATGTGTTAAAATATTGAAACTTATGTGGTAAGATAATGTACTTCATGAGTTAGAATAATGTACATTATGCTTTAGAATAACATACATTTAAATTATAAAAATGTATATTGTAGTGGGTTAAAAAAATATTGTGCGAAATGACGTCATTTTTAGACCGTGGTCCACGATCCACGCAATAATTATTGAGAAAAAACATACAAAGCTAATTTCTCAACCAAAAAAAAAAATAAAAAAAATACACAGCTAATTCCATTTAACAAATTGGGCTCATGATTCATGGAATAATGATTGATCTTATGACACAGCTCAAATTGGGCTCATATAAGAAATTGGGCTGGATACATGGGTCTTCTAAGTCCTGAGCCCATTACACCTTATTGGGCCTGAAACGGGCAGTATTTCTTCAATTTTTACATTTTATGTTGTGGTACTAATGTGCGGAAATTATATCGTGAACCTTAGTTCAAAACGATTTCATTTTATATTAAGTTATATATTATGTCTAATAATATTCATGCTATAATATATTTATAATATTTGTTTTATATGTTCATAAACTTAAATCTACATAAATACTAAATCTAAGTACATCATATTCATTTCAATTCACTATATAGTAAGGCTATAATGTTCTTTTTATATATTCATTAAAAGCAAACTTAATATATATAAATATTACCATGCATGTGCATCATAATTATACTATACGATATAAAATGTGAATTTCGTTAACTATGCTACCTAAAAACAATGTGGTTTTGAATGTGCTATGGTTGGTCAAATAACTTGGACCCCTCATCCTCTGTCAGTACTTCTTAGAAGAGCCATCACTAGAACCAAAGAACCAATAACGCTTTCACTGAGGCTCAAACTCACAATCTTCTAAATGGAAGTCTAATCTGGGTACCATTAGACTACATAGTCCTGGTCTCTTATTCTTTACTTAATTTAACATATATTGAATATCGCGACACTTATATGGTCAACTTGGCATCGGCATTTTTTTTTTATCTGAATTAAGATTGTTGAGTATTGAAATATTTCGTACTTATAATTTATTAATATATGATATAAAGTGAATTTTTATTATATTAGCAATTATCAAGTACAACTATGTATGATATATTTGATTGCACGATGCACTATAGCGACAAATGCTTAGTAATACTGAATACAATATAAATAACATACGTAGTTGTACTCAGTACAAAAAATACTCGCACTAAAATTGAAGAAATATGGGGACTTTTATTAAGGATTTTTATATATAGAAAACCTTCATCACACCATTAACTATCACACACTTAACACTTTAACTCAAGAAAAACTATCCTCTGACCTTGCTGTCAACACTTCCAATGCACCTCAATAGTTCTTAACATAACACAAGAAAATCAAACTAAAGCTTCAGAAATCTCCATTACAGACAATTATAGTAATTATAATAGGATTAATATATTATATTAATTAATTAGTTCCTTCTCCTGCAGTTCTTCCTGATCTCTCCATTGTTCCCAGTGAGGGGTTTGATATCACCCATCTTGATCATGGCGGCTGCGAAATCTGAGCTGAATTTTGTTGGGTTTGTGCTGTACCCTCTCACAGTTGAGTCTGTTGAGACGCCATTGAAGAGCTGCTGGTCAGAGTGGAGAAGACCCTTTTTGTTAACGAGGTTGACGTAGTAGTTGTTGTCAAACTTTATTGGGGTTTGGAGGTCGAGTGGGGCCAAGTTGTTGTCCCCGGACCCACTTGCTCTAGGGCAGTTGCCCTTCCTGGATTGGGCAAAGGATGAGTCTATGTTTGACTCGTTGTATATTCTTGCCCTGAAGTTCGTGCACCGGGCCTGTCCAATTGTGTGTGAGCCTGAAAATGGATATGTATTAGTAGATTCTATATTAATTTTGGGGTCAAAGAATTTGACTTTAAAGTAATTATGTCACGTTTTATGTATTTGTTTTACGTGAATTAGGTATTATCTCGACCTGATAAAACAACCATGTCGTTGGTCGAGAGGCCAACGGCACTGAAGCTGGAGATGAGGCGATTGAGGTTAGAAGTGGGAGGAGGAATGCTGTTGTTGGCTGCAGCTTGGCTTGCAGTCCTAGCATCTCTTCTCCCAAGTTTCACATTCCAACTAGGCCCTCCAAGCTGCATATAAATAATCACGAACATAATTAGACTCGATTACATACCCCGACCTTCTAAAATAAATTGTATTAAGCATTCATGTACTATTAGCTAGTCTATACATATAGACTATACAACTAATTTATTGTTACAAACTTACTGTAACAGTTGAGTCACGAGAAGCAATAGCTAAAATGTCAGCACACGACACAACTCCGGGACAAACTTTCTCGACAGCAGACTTGATTTGGTCAATGACCTCAAATCCACGAGCCGACTGGAAGTTGGGGGCCGCCCTTTTCTCTCCGGTGAAGGAAGACGTATCGTCCAAGAGAATTGACCCATCACACCCCTGTAACATCCATATATAAGTACAATTTTTTTTTTATATATATAATAAGAGCAATCCTGACCAATTTAGTCAAACTGTACTGTTAACTTAATAACGATCAACAAGACCTTCTTGATTTGAGCGAGTAGAGAAAGAAGAAATTACGTTGACAAAGCAGTCATGGAAGAAGAGGCGAAGGAGAGAGGCGCCCATGCGAGCCTCTTTCTGGATTGCAGAGCGCACAACAGAGTTGACTGTCTGGAAAAGCTTTGGGCATGATTTCGAGTAAAACCCAGGCGAAAGCTGAGCGGAACAGCCCCCAACAAGCACCAAAACACACAACAAAACAGCAGTAATGTTATTATCCTTAACAGAAACCGCCATTGAACCTTCTCTGACAACCTTATAAGCTACGAGGTTGTTTGGGAGAAGAAGTGGGGTGACGATAAGTGTGTCGGACACGGGTATATATAGGAGGAGAAGTGAGAGGGGGTACGGTGTTGAAGTTTGTTTCTCTGGGGATTTGCTTGGCTAGGCTAGGTAGGTTACCTAACGCAGATATAGTATTGCATGGGGTTAATTTGATTTGGTTAATATAATTTTGTACGACGTTGAAAAGAATGGGTCTAAGCAACATTAAATTACGACAATTGTTGTGTGTTGGTGGACGGTTTATGTTGTGAAGTTGAGGATAGACGCGTATGGTTTGTTTGATTATTAAGCCAAATCGAGACTGTGAACAGTGGTTGCGAAAGTGATTGCCTTACACTATATGATTAATTGTCTTTTGATCTATATGATGGGAAATTTTCAGCACTACGTGGTATATAACATTTGTGGTGTCTTGTGTTTGGGCCACTACTGATTTTGGGTTAAACCCGTTGATCCTGTAACTATAACCAATAAAGTAACATAAAGAGATGAATTAACATAGATTGTACACAAGAAGAGAAACTCACAATCAGCCCATCACTACTTGATGATGTACATTTAGAAAAATCTTGCACTAGGAGAAACTCGCAATCAGCTCATCATGTATAATACATGCAAATTGCAATGGAAAAATCCAATGCAACAACTCAACCGAGAGACTACGTTGTTAGCAAGAATCTAAGGGTGTGTTTGGTTCGCACATGGGAATCAGAATTGGATGGGTATCAAATATTTGGTAATGGTAATGGGTTTTGGTGAAAATATTTTACATGTTTGGTAGTATGGTGAATTGATAATGATTAGGCTAAGGATGAAACCCTTATAAAATAAGAGAATGAGTTTTTCCATTAATAGGGCCAAACCCATAATAGTGTTTTAAAAATCAGTCAACCAAACAATAACAATCACTTTCATCCCCATTCCTGAGTGCTAAATCTGCCAACCAAACACACCCTAACTTATAACTTTGTTTAACGAGAATCATGCTACACTACCTACTCAATTACCCCTTGTGAATAGTTGACCAATTCAAATAAAAAAGACCAATAAATATTTCTTACATGACGTCAAACTTAGAGCCTTGTAATTACCAAACCAACTTTCCTAATTCTTTAATTTATAAGGCCGTTGTCTACCCTTTGCAAGGTTGTTAATTGTTTTTTTTTTTTTTTTTTTTTTTTTTTTTTTTTTTTTTTTGAAAACAATTGTTAATTTGTTTAGAAATATTAAATTGTTACAATCAACTTGTTCATCTTTGGTAATAAAAGTGTACACAGTAATATTTCTATCAATAGATTTGGTATAGATTTGAGTGTCAATAAAGGAGAAAGTGACTACTAGCTAGCTAGATGGGGGGTTTCCTACATTATTATGAAGAGAAATAAAAAAATTTTAAAAAATACAAATGTAGCCGATGATTGACTAATGATTTGAACGAATTGAGTGCTGCTCTTTTTCTTTTTGATTTTTTTTTTTAAAATAATAATATTTTTAATTTTTTTTAAAAAAAATTTTTACACTCACAAGTTTACAACGAAACTAATCTTTTTTTTTAGTACTACCGACCCTACAAGAAGACCTTATATGTATATCTTCAAGCTAGAGACATGCCAAATTAATAATTTGGGAACAATGATTATAAATAATTTTATTACCATGATTAACAAAAATAAAATAAAAAAAAAATAACAATAGGTGATGAATTCAGAAAGGAAAATAATTTTGTTTTTAAATTTGAGTTAAAATCTTGAAACATTTTAATTAAATTAGAAATTACAATGTCAACTTGATTACTCAAGTGCCAGTAAATAGTGTTTTATCTACATTAATAATTTACAAAACAACCCAAAACGTTGCTGGTTTCTTAAGGAAACCTTTTTAATTAATCAATAAATTATCTTTGATTTATGAAAAAACACGCAACATGACACTACTCAGAAGTATACTTTGACTAAAGTTCACATTGTAATCCTAATTAACAAAGGACCACAATAAAGTAAACCATTATAAGTTGTTTATAGCTTACTAGCTCAAATCCTAGAAGGCCAATATATAGTCAACTTTAACTCAAAGTCGAACTTGAAACCTTATAAATATCCAGCCAACTACACGATCAACTGAGATTTCCATTCAATATATTAATTATCTGCATGAAAACCGTGGGAACTGCAAGAAATAATTAAATTAAAGAAATAATCTTTCAAATACAGTACTACTACACCTAATTATTGTGCTAAAGCTAAACTTTCAAAGTCTTCTTGCAAGCTTTATGGCTTTATGTAGTTAACATGTCATTTTACTTGTACCATTTTTCTGACTTTAGGGTTACACCCTATATCCTAAAGTTAAGATAATTACTTCAACAATCTTATCTGATTTTGAACATTCTTGCCAGCTTTCATAGTTACAGCAGAATATATTCCTTAATTTTACATTCACATTAGAAGGTTCCCAATATTCTTTTTAACTCTCCAATCCCATGATTTTGAAGCTTATTCTATGAATAGTGATAATTCTAAATTTAATTTTCAAATATGGGCATTCTAATTATTTCTTTGTCCACTATTTCTATGTTGTTATTTATCTGACTCTACCATCATATAGGCCCTGTTTGGTAACATAGTTAGCGTACAATATATTAATCTATCTGTCTAACAACAAAGAACCCGAATACACTTTGACCCGACCTAATTCAGAAGTGGACCCCATTAATATTTGTACACAAAATAGTCACTTAGTTGAGATCTTATTTAATGGGTATCAACCTCTTTTCATTCTCACTGCTGGAAATTGTTGAATTTCCGACCACCTGAAAGTGATCTTAAATCAAGTCGAAAGTAAAAAATGGTCAGAAATAGCAACAAAGGTTTTTCTGGATACCAAAAATGATCGGAACAAGGTTTTGACTTGATTTAAAATCACTTTCAGGTGGTCGGAAATTCCATAATTTCCAGTAGTGCGATCTGAATCACAAATCATTTTTTGAATCACAAATCATTAATTAGCGACTTAATATAAATGTTGACTTTAAGGCTAATTAGTATATATTATTTCTTAAACTTTCTTTGATTACTTCATGAAATCTAATGAATAATACGCATTAAAATAAAACCTAAATTAGAAAACTGGGAGAAGGAAAATACAAAGCTAATTCCATTTAATTAACAAAAGAAGGATATGTGGCCTGGTGGAAGCAATAGTCAAAAGCTTCAATTCATCACCTAAACATAATGCTTTTTATATGATAAAGTCAGCATTCACGGCAGCGTTTTCTTCGGACAAAGTAATATAATTACTTCGTACATAAATAAGTTGTATTGTCAACGACAATCTTAACTAATGTTTAATTGCTAATTACACATTTTACTTGCCCTTAGAGAAGTAGTACTTAATAGGAATGTCCCATTACTACTCAAGTATAGTTGAAGAGCTAGCTTGCTGGTTGATTTTTTATTTATTTATTTATTTTTTGACATTCAGGTTGGCTAGGAAAAGAAAAATAAACTAAGTGGAAAGATTACAAAAATCTTAACTAAACATCTTCAATAATATTCACAAAATAACAAGTTTTTATGTTCTCTTGTAAAGATTTCGTAGCTAAATTCGAATTTCGTGTTTTGTCTCACATAATTTTTTTTATTTTTATTTTTCCAGAATTCCAAAGTCTTTAACATTAGAAAATGTCCCTTGAGCTTTCAAATCAATGCGTGATTGAAGTTGAAAACTTAATAAAAGCAAATAATTGATTACAATATGTAGTTAGAACATTAAATGGTGCATTCAATGAGGGGAGTTGGATGGTACTCCATAAGAAGATATAAGAACAGATTTTCTAATGTGGTTTATCTTTCTGGTGTGATTTGTATATCATTACACAAAAATAAAATTTATTCAGTGCAAATCATTGTATAGTGATTGCAACTTGCAGATTTCTCTTGTCACCCAAGCAGATTATATTGAAATATCATTTGGAAGTTTTGATGTTCCCATAATTACAACTAATTTTATATTAAACTTATAGTTTATATTTTTTACGAAAGCGTTAAGAGAGCTTTGTAAATTGACTCATTCTGTTATCGATCGTTGTTTAATCATATATGTTTAAAATGTCAAAAACTTGTATGCTAAGTCACAGCAGAATACCAAACAGTATTGGTGAATTAAGAAGGAATTGAATGAAAGAAGCATTGACCAAAAGGGAATATAATATAATAAAGAAAGACATAATGAGTAATTCAGTAGTTCCAACTATATATTGACATGGTCTTCAATTTCACTTCAGATCAAAAATTGGGGCGACCAAATTTTCTAGAGGTTGGTGAGCAACGTAGAAATTTCAATGCATGGTCATTTCATGCAATTATTATCCCTTTGGAAAATCTTGTCTCATTTGGTTTTATCTGCTTGAAAACTTAATTGGGCAAACATCATATCCCTCATTAGGCTAGATACATGAATTTGAATATATAGTCCCCAAGTACAACTCCTAAGATTCATGAATTTAGATATATATAACTTAGAGCACAACTCAACAGGTTAATAGATCTAAATAAATTCATAATTTTTTGTTTTACTAATAGTCATATAGTAAATAAATTTATAAACTTTAATAAGTTTTACGTAATCACAAGATACATAGTTTAAATATAATTTTGTTATGATCACTAATATATAAACATTTGGAAACATATCATCCAATTGAAGTATATCTTGTGATTTATTTTCTCCACTACTCTCCAAAAGAATACTGACTCAAATTTAAACTTATCAATTTATAGGTATATAATATAAAATCCAGACATAGGGGGTGTTTGGTAATTACTATTAGCGGATAACTATTAGCTGATTGGATTAATGAGTTTAACTAATTAATAGCATTAGCTGATTGTAAAAAAATATTTGGTAAATTAACTGTTAGCTTTAACTAATTACATACAAAATGGCTACAACTTTTTAAATTTTAGCATTTTGAAACAATAAGTTGTTACAAAAAAGCTAATTAATCAAATAATCATATTGATTGTTTAACTAAGTCAAATATCTAATAGCGATAAAATAAGTCAAAATTAATTGATAGGTTAATTATTTACCAAATAGGGCCATAAACTTCACTATGTGGAAGTGTATAACTTTTTTCTCATGAAAAATAATTAGTAGATTCCTAGATAGTATAATAAAATCCTTGCCACTCTTACGAAGAACAAAACTTTAATCAACAAACACACTGCAATGCTCAACTTTGCTTCAAAAACTTTAAAAATATTAAAATTAGTGAATGTGGTAGTAATATTAATATTAATATAGTAATAATTGAAGTAAAAGTATGATGTCGATAATAAAGATTATTCTGGGTTTGACAAGCCTTCCAAATTTGACACTGCCTGCCTACCTTATTTTGAATGAATCTCATCTATTTTTCTTAAGAGTAATCAGTGACATAAGAAATTCACGTGAGTAAATTTTAGTTACCCAAAGTCCTATCGCCTTGCCGTGTAGTCTGTCAACTCCACAAGACCAAAACCAGTATCCATTAATACTGCATTTCAACATTCCCAAGTTGTTAACCAAATATTTGTCATATAATAATATAATATTTACAGCCATCCAGTAAAAACTTCCACATCCAGTGATCCAATATACCTGTTAAATCACAAAGAAAACAGAGATTAAAGAAGATAGAAATTTTCCAAATGCTTTGGATAAAGACAGACCATGATGTATTGAGCTTTCAGGCTTTTCACCCTTCACTTGCTGCCAAGTGAAGAAAACAAATTTTCCCAATCTTTGAATTGTGAATTTTTACACAAATACTTTATTATTATTTACCAACCAACGTAGACAAGGAAGTTTAAGGCTACTTTTCTTCTGCAGAAAAAGCACTCGAGTGGGACTTATGCCTTTGAGGCCTAGCACTATTACACGTCAACTTTATACAAGTCTTACCATCAACTTTTATACTTTTCTAGAGTATTGCAAGCATCAGCCTGGTTTAGAAAGTACTCGTTCATAACTATGCAGGACATGTTAACGGGTTAGATTGCACCTGCGTCTTGCCTACCATCATACCCTTCTGTTCTAATCCAAACCATCAGTCTGATGAGTCTGATGCTTCCTCCTCTAGCAGTTCGAAATCATCAATCTCTTTAAAATAAGCCCTCTTTTCCTCTACAAATTCTTCTGGCAACCTATACTGGTCCTCTGAACGCCTCTTCTGCAAAGAAGTTCGGTTGTTAGCACACTGCTTCATAAAACATAACAAGTTTGGTTGTTAACTCATGGCATCATATAACATATGGCACACGGCATACAGTTCGCTTTCATTTTTATTTTATGCTTCATCTGTTAGGCCACTCCAAAAGGAATACACACAGATGCAAGTCATTTACAGTTTAGCCTTTTTAGATGGGTTGATACATTCTCTAACAGTACACATCTTGGATTAAAATGCAAGTAAAAACAAAACAAGATTTCCTACAATATATAGCCAAAACATACCAACTCAATGATCTCTGCTGGACATGAACAGAGACCATTTAGAATCTTGTACAAGAGGTGTGTAGTCAATTTTAGGCAACATTACTCCAAAAAGATTAATAATCATTCAGAGCAAATATGGTAAAAAAAGCTAAAATTCCAGAACACCATTAACCAACAATTACCTATTCAAAAAAGCACTGTAAACCACCAATTACTAATATATAAAAACAAACGGGAATCAACTTTATCATGTTCACCAAAAGGGAGGGTTATTTGCAAACCTTGGTCTGCTTTTTATTTGGAACAGTCCTTGATCCTGGCAACTCAACATCACCAACTTCATTGCATTTGTTCCTATTCACGAAAATTATCATAGAGGGCATCAGTATTGGAATGATGGAAAGTTCAGAAATGTTTTTTTTTAAATGTTCTGCTTTGAGTGACCAATTCCCACTCATTGATTGTCAAGTCCATTGGTTTAAAGGCCTAGAAACAATTAATCTCAAAGCAAATGTCAGACTGCCAGCATCTTTCTTCCACAACTTTGGAAGATGCATAAAAGCCTTGTGTTTTGGGTTGGAAGAAAGAGAAAAACTATTTGGAACTAAGAACACATGCTTAAGCTCTATAATATAAAACATTGATCAAGCTATTGAAATTACATGTAAAAGTCTAATTAGGTGAAAAATTAATAATTAAAAACTATAATTTATGTACAAATTCTAGCAAAGAGAGTGTTGTAACAAAAACACACACCACACATAATTTCGGCATGGTGTAGTTTCATTTAAGTTCAAATAATAAAATAAATAGGACGTAGAGCAGACCTAGAATTCCTTGTCTTTGGCAAAGGAGGGCAACTAAAAACAAATGTATCTGCTTTTCTTTTCCCCCTTATCTTCTGTGGAGGCGGACTTTTCAAGGAAACATCAGATATCTCTTTGCCCATTGTTTTCTCACAAGAACTGCCAATGTTCACAATTATGTTTCCTCTATCCTTACTCTTCAGAGGTGGGGAACTGAGAGACTCAAAACTTTCCTTGCCCTTATTTTTCTTTTTCTCAGTTGACAGTTGATGAATATGCTCCACATTATCATCCCCTTTATTCTTATTCTCACAAGAACTGCTAATACTCGAAATTACATTCCCTGTATCCTTGTTATTCTTGGGAGGTGAGGAACTTAGAGACTCAAAACTTTCCTTCCCTCTATCTTTCTTATTCTTTGCAGGCAAAAGACTAACAGTCTCAACAATCCCTTTCCCTTTACCCTTGTTACCATCTGAGAGCAAGCTCCTAGCGAGTTTGTCAACCTGCTCACTCTCATCCTTCTTATTCTCAGGATGCGGGCAATTGAGAGGCTTGCTAGTAACCTTTCCCTTCTCCTTGTTACTCCTGGGAGGCAAGCAAGTAACAGGCTTGGCAACAACCTCTCCTTTCCCCTTTTTATTTTCAAGAAGAGTAGAACTACAGGGAAGAACTGTAGCTTTTGTTTCCCTATTAGACTTTCTGGTGGTAGCTCTTTGACCATAAGCTGCAAGTTCACCATTTACAGGAGATTTAAAAAAAAGTACTCATTACTCTAATGCAAAAGCAATCTTGCCTCATAAATGAGACAAATACAAACATCAGAGATCAATTAAAAGATCTTGGATGCAATATAAAAAACAAAAAACTTTTGGGAACTCAAATGCCAATGGCATCATTTTTACCACTATAAAAATAACAATGCCCTTCAGAATCCAGAACCACCTTTTGTGAACAATGGAGGGGAAAATCAAAGTTAAGTGATGAATGTGATAGAATAGAAACACAAATTGGATTCAGTGCCTGCACATTACTTTTCTTCCAAGATGCATTAATCAATTAAGACTAACATTCAGTACAAAGTATTTTGTATCCAGAACAAAGCTGAGAAGCTGACCCAAAATCACATACATCCATTTGCACTTGCATATCCTAAAATCAAAAGGAAAAAAAATAAAGATATACAAGACTTAAACATAAACAGATAAACTGATATAAGCAACCGATTTCAAATTGAACATAAAAGGTAGCTCCCTGACAATCAATCACCAGCAAGTAGAATTAGAGATGTGCTCATTCCCATCACATTTACATACACTATTTTGTTTTGCATATAAATGTCTCAGTTCAATAAATAATATGAGAACAACGATTTCAAATTGAACATAAAAGGTAGCTCCCTGGCAATCAATCACCAGCAAGGGTAAATAGAGATGTGCTCATTCCCATCACATTTTCATACACTATTTTGTTTTGCAAGTAATATGAGAACAATGATCTCAAACTGAACATAAAAGGTAGTTTCCTGACAATCAATCACCAGCAAGCAGAGATAGAGATGTGCTCATTCTAATCACATATGCATACTATTTTGCTTTTCATATAAACGTCTCATTTCAATAAATAATATGATAACAACGCCTTCAAATGCTCAACTCAACCTAAATTGACCCAAACAAATTTAAAAAACACAGTGCGTACAAAGAGGTACCTGAAGACGTAGGAGAAGGATGAACGCGAACCGTGGTAGAGATGCCAAATCTACTGGCGTTTCGAGCTTGGACGAAACTGGAGGATCCGACGCTAGTGTCTGATTTTGCATCAGTTGAGTTATCATTGCGGGGTTGCGAAGATTTGGAACCGGATTTCGAGACTGAAATTGGGGATTTCGGAAGGGCGCCGTGGAAGTTGGAGGAGGTCCCGGCCGAGGAGGGGGCGGTGGTGGTGGAGCAGCAGAGCTTGCGTAGAGTCTCGATCGGTGTGAGATTGAAGTTGGAGAGGTCTAAGAAGGGCGGCCTCTCCGTCTCCGAGGCTCTAGAATTCGGATCACCTCTCCGAGAATTCGGATTCCTTCGAGCATCCATGGTTGATCTAAGTAGTGATTTAGCGAGCGAGAGTGTGTGTATAGTACTGTAGTAGTAACTCTGTGGAGAGACAGTTGAAGCTGAAGATGATTGTTGAAGAAGCTAAAGCTCCTGGCGGGAAAAATAATTGGGGGCATAAAAGAAACTCGTAGAGGATTCGCGATTGCCACTTGTCTGTAATGTCGTTAGCTACTTCGCTGGGCTTCGGGTCTCTGCTCACTTCAATTTGGGATTGTCACAAGGCCCGTTAACCTGTTACTCCGCGTATTCGGCAAATTATCAATCGTTATGCGTTAGATCCGTGTCCAGCATGCTTGCTGGATTTAAAAAAAAAAAAAAAAATTCAAATCACTTCGTTATATGAGTATATGTTCATAATTTTATTACTATATTATTAATAACTGTACATTCATAACTACATAACTGTACGTTCATAACTCCATAACTGTACATTCATAACCCCATAACTGTACATTCATAATTTTCGAAGCTCTATGTTCACAATTTTAGAGCTCTATGTTCATAATTTTATCAGTATATGTTCATAATTGTAAGTTCAAAATGTTAGAGCTCTTTGTTCATAATTCGATCAATAACTGTACATTCATAATTCCATAACTGTAGATTCATAATCTCATAACTGTAGATTCATAACTTCATAACTGTAGATTCATAACTCCATAACTGTACATTCATAATCTTCGAAGCTCTATATTCACAATTTTAAAGCTCCATGGTCATAATTTTATCACTATATATGTTCATAATTGTAAGTTCATAATGTTAGAGCTCTGTGTTCATAATTTCATAATTGCATAACTGTACATTCATAACGACATACCTGTACATTCATAACGGCATAACTGTACATTCATAATACAAAAAAAAAAATAATAATAACGGCGTTAACGGCAAAACGCACGCGATTTTTTTTTTTTTTTTTAAACTAAATGACGCGTTTTTTTTTTTTTTGAAAAACGACGTCGTTTTGAGCCTATGTCTACAATTCACTGTGGACACGGGTCCAGGGCATAATTTGCCGCAAATTATGCTATGGAGACGTGAACACATAAGTAGATCTATAATTTCTATGCTGTAAATTTATAATTTTTATACGGTAGAAATTATGAATCTACAGTATAAAAAAGAGGAATTTATAGTACGGTATAGAAATTATGAATCTACAGTATAGATGTTATGAATCTGCATGGTAAACACAGAGGTAGATACATAATTTCTATGCTGTAGATCCATAATTTTTATAGTGTAGAAATTATGAATATACAGTATAGAAATTATGAACCTATAGTACGGTATAGAAATTATGAATCTACAGTATAGATGTTATGATTCTGTATGGTAAACACAGGGGTAGATACATAATTTCTATGCTGTAGATTCATAATTTTTATACTGTAGAAATTATGAATATACAGTATAGAAATTATGAATCTACAGTATAGATGTTATGAATCTACATTATAGAAATTATGGATCTATTCCGTCTTCACTATGCGCATGGTGAACACAGTCCCACAACATAACTATTGCGCATATTCCTTTTCTCATTTTCTGGATCATGATCACATTTTAAAATTGATTATTGATGTTAGTAATGTTATATTATATGGTTTATTTGTTTATGGTTATTATTGTTGTTGACTAGTCTTAGCTATTAGATAGGAGCTATCAGTGATAGCTTTCCTATAGGATTCTATCGTGTAATCTGTTTTCCAGTCTAATGTAATTTGCGTTGTTTCACTTGGTATCAGTTAGCGTCAGGCTAGGAATCCTACCCTGTTTTTTCTCCACCACCTAAACATGTCGAAAAACTCCTCTGAATGAACCGTAACCACCACCCCTCCACCACACACAACCGGGAATTCCCTTACCGCAGCGCATCACTTTGTTTCAATTAAATTAAACAACCGAAATTTCTTGTTCTGGCGCACTCAGATTATCCCCTTTCTACGTGGCCAAGGCCTTTTAGGCTATATTGACGGCAGCCATATCTGTCCACCGGAGTTCCTCCCGGCGACGACACAGGCAGCCGGCTCCAGCACCACCGCGGTCGCATCTTCCGAAATCAACCCGGAGCATGCGGCATGGGTTCAACAGGACCAGCTGATTATGTCTCTTCTGATCTCGTCGTTATCCGACGAGGTCATGCCATTGGCGGTTGGCCGGGAAACGTCACGCGAGGTCTGGCTCTCCATCAATGACTCGCTGGCGTCCTCCACACGAGCTAGGTGTCTTAATCTGCTCGGCCAATTTCAAACACTCCGGCAAGGCAGCATGACGGCCTCGGAGTATCTCGGGAAGGCAAAGATGCTCGTTGAAGCCTTGTCCCTCGCTGGCCATCGACTCACGCTAGACGAACAGGTGCTCTACGTATTGAGGGGTCTTCGCCCGGAATTCCGGGCCATGGCGAGTGCACTCACCGTGACCGGCACACCGGTAACGCTATCTCAGCTCGGCGACCTTCTGCAAGCCCAGGAATTCATCCAGGGAGATGAGTTCTCGATGGAGTCCGGGAATGGCGCTCCAGTCGCCATGTACGCTGGCCGTGGTGGCCAGTCGAGTGGGGGCGCTGGACGAGGTGGCCGGCACAGCAGCAACAATCGCGGCCGTGGGCGAGGAGGCCGGAACTCCGGCGGTCGTGGCCGTGGCAGCCCTCGCTGCCAGATCTGCAGGAGTCACGGCCACACCGCCGTCTTCTGCAACCGGCGCTACACCGAGCCTCCGCCGTCGCCACACGCCCACGTCGCCGTTGCAGGTACTCCACCGGCAGCAGAAACTGCCCAGCCGGAGGTCTGGTTTCCGGACACCGGCGCTACCACTCATGCGTCGCTTGATGAAACCATGATTGGGCAATTCGAACAGTACACTGGTGGTGTTGTGCTGAAAGTGGGCAATGGGGCAGGTTTGAATATCTCCCGCGTTGGTTGTACAGCAATCCCATCAAATTCTAAATTGTTAAATATGTCTTATTTGTTCCAAATATGTCATTATCCTTGTTATCCGTTTACCGTTTCACTAACGAAAACAACGTTTTTTTTTTAATTTCATAAATACGTGTTTTTTGTGAAGGATTGCACTACACGGGACATACTCCTTAAAGGCTCCGCGGTAAACGGGCTGTATAAGCTATTGGTGCCACGACCTCATGTTGCGTTTCTAACAGCCAAAGCGTCTCCCACAGTGTGGCATCAACGTCTGGGTCACCCTCATAAACAGGCTCTCCAACGGGTTCTTAAACACTGTCCGGTCGCGTCAAATAAAGCTCCGGTGTTAGAAATTTGTTCCGCTTGTCAACGAGGAAAATCCTCCCGTTTTCCCTTAGATAGAGTGTATACTTCAAGTTCTGAAGTTTTAGATTTGTTGTATACAGATATCTGGGGTCCCTCTCCAGTTATTTCAAATTCGGGCTACCGTTATTTCGTTTTATTTGTAGACGACTGTACTCGTTTTTTCTGGTTTTACACCTTACGGTTAAAATCAGATATCTATAAAATATTTAATTTGTTTCGGGCAATGGTAGAACGGCGATTTTTCCGTTCTATCAAAGCCATCCAGTCTGATTTAGGGGGTGAGTACCGTCGCCTACACACCATATTTGAGTCCTTAGGCATCACGCACAGACAATCGTGTGCTATATCCATGAGCAAAACGGCCGTGTAACGGCCGTGTGCACATACTAATTTAGATATGCAAAATTAGGTACCCAATATTAATACTTTATATTATAATTTCAAATTTAGTTAGATGTTAAATATTTAAATTATTGTAAATAATAATAATGTAAAATATTTTTATAAATTTGATATTTATATTTTAACTAATTTATAACTCCAATATATAATGTGTATATATTATTATTATTGAAGATGTTGGTTTTTGGGTTTTCGGGCCCAAGGAGGTCCAACACAACCTGTGGTTGGTGGATTCACCTTTCATAATAAGGCTACTAAAATAGAAGAAATATGACTCGATGATTTTTACGTGGAAACCGAAAGGTGAAAACCACGGGCCTTTTTGGGCGGTGCCAAGCCTAATTCCACTATGTATTTTGTAGGTGTCTTTGTACATGTTGTATGGCTATTTTGTATATAGAGTCTTATGTAAGGATAAAGCTATCTTTGATACCGAGATATGGAGTATGCATCTTGATGGAATGGTGGTGGAGTCTCTTCATATGGAGCCTTCTTCTTGCATGGAAGAGTGGTAGAGTCTACCTTGTATATTGTGGAATGAGGCCTTCTTGGGCGAGTAGTTGTGGGAGAGTAGTATGTGGTCTTCAAGTGTGTAGGAAGAGTGCTTGGCAGAGTAGTGTAGGAAGAGTGCTCTCATGTATGTATGAGTGAGTGACCCCTTTCTTCTTGTCTTCCCCTCCTTTTTATAGCTAGCCCATCCCAAAAGTGTCCGTTGGACATTTAGTAGGGTAGTGATGGGTGATAATTAGGGGGTTATGGATAATCATAATAATGGGGTAATAAGATGGGGTAATAAGTGGGAGGTTAGGAATGGTGGGGTAGTAAATAGGACTTTAAGGGTAGATAATGTAGGAATAACGGCTAGTTAGACCGACCCCCTACCCGTGCTGATCCCACACTCGGGTCGAGCCGACTCCTCGGCTTGGCCCGTATCTTTTTTGGGCTTACTCCATTTTCTTCTTGGGCTTCCCTTCTTTGTCTGGGCTTTATCTCTTTTCTTCTTGGGCCCCGAGCCCACAGGGTTCACACCCCATCAACTAGTCCCTCACTTTTCTATGTCTTGTGCTTAGCAGGGCATGGAAAAGTATATTGTCTTGCCACAAAATTTCCTTTATTTGCCCCCTCGATTTTTGCCGACTCTTTATTCAACATTCTACACGACTCCATTCTCATGACTTCTCTTTGTCTGCCGTATGACCGACTGCTTCAGTGGATGTGACCTTCTGGCTCTGAGCCCCTTTCTCTTTAGCCATCGAAGTGAATCTTGGCTGTAACTTTTTCTTTCTCTAATAAACTTCTAAGGGTTCGGACCCTTGATTCCTTCTTTATTCGCCGAGTCCCTCAGTTGAGGCGACTCTTCGGTGATATCTTCTTTTCCTTTTAAGAAATGTCTAAGGGACAGTGCCCCGGTTTCCCTTCTCTTTCTTCTAGAAACGTCTAAGGGTCGGAACCC